CAAAGGCCAGGGCTCGTAACTCTGTGCTGTTGGTTCTCACTGTAAAACTGGACTATCCTGACAGAACCCGATGGATTCTTAGAATCAATTGAGCTATACCTTTGAAACTATCTGATGAGATGGTTATGACCAAAAGTGGTTGGTGGCAGTGAACTCCTGATCCTTCCCAGAAAGAAAGAGAAAAAGAAAAAAAAATGGTTTGGGCCCACATGCATGTGTCAGTATAGTAATTAACTAGGTGATGCACATAATCATACATGGCATGTACATTGTGTGTTGAGTTGTTTTCTATTTGCTATAATGATTGTAAATATCTTGACGTGTTTTCTACTGTACTTTGGTTGAAATAGGTTTGTCTCACCTTTTTAGTTGCTATGTGTGTTGTATGTTGATAAGTCTGCAATTAGGCCTTATTTTACAACCCATATATTCATATTTGACCTTTATTTTATTTGAGTTTTATACTAATTTATATATTAATTGTTCAATTTGGTATAAAGAGACCGCGAGTGAATGTTGGGTGTATTTTGGGCCCAAATTGATAGAAGATTAGAGCTTCGCAGTAGCACGCCCAAACGCTTTCAACAAGCACGAGGGTGCTTCGAGCCCATGCATGGTCGTGCTTAAGGCCTTGCACGGCTGTATTCATCTACGAGAAGCTCAATTATCAAGAGTTTTTAGGGTTTTCAAATTCTATAAAAGGAAAGATCTCAGGCATCGTAAAAAGACACCGTTTTTACATCTTGGCTTTGGCTCTAGAATATATCTGACCTCGTCTCTCTTAAACGGGATCCTTAGCACATGCTTGGGGAGACTTGTAGCTTCAAACGATCGTACTTGAAGACCGGGAACATATCTCATATTATAGTTTGCTATTTCTTTTGATTATGTCTTTGTTTATGATTGTTTTAATTCTTTTCTTTAGCATGAGTAACTAAGTCCATAGTTAGGGCTGTGGGAACTATTGTTCATGAATTTAAGGAATTTTGATGTTTGAATCTAAATTTAATTTCTGTTTTGTAATTAGATTTTATCCTATTGCGCTTCTTTCTTAATCCTAATTAATTATATCGTCAGGCGACCGTACCTCGGTTGATTAATAGATCTATTGGGTAAAATGAGACAAAGGATTAGGTGGACCAAACCAATCTTTCTCTTCTAATCGTTATTAAATTAACAAGTTCATTGGTTCTTTAAGCTTTCTCAAATTGATGTCTTGTATGACCATTAGAGATATTAATTTAGAGAAAAGAATATTAATATTGCATGACCACTGGATACTAATAGTATTTGTATGAATGATTGATAATCACAAGGAAATCGGATTTAGAGTTAAATAGAAAAATAACATAAAAAATTGAATGAGAAAACCCATATGCCCTAGTTTCCTCTCCGATAAGTTTAACCAAGACGTGCATTGTATTCCTTGCTCTTAATTTTATAATTGATTTTATAAATACTTGTTTTTAATTAGTCTCATATCTTTGAAGCTTAAATAATTGAATTAGGAAATTCTTAATAATTAAAAATCAATCCTTGTGGGTCGATATTTCGGGAGCTTAATTTAAGAACCCTTTATTACTTCTCGATGAGTACAGTTACCCTTCGTACCAGTTCAGTGTCACAGTCAAATATGATCCTGAAGGAAGATGGGCGCACGATTTAGAGCAACAACAATTTACCCATATTGACACTATTACCTTTTTGTTAGATAGAAATGGGCCAAGCCCACGGGCATACCCCATTCCCATCAGGGTACCCATGAGACTTACTTTTCCATTTCCTCCTGGAGTACAGTTTATAAGACCCCATGTCCCACCTCCTGTCCCTGTATTATCGCCCCCAATATTATTCTTGAAATTTCTTAGATCTTTAGGGCCTTATGTACCGCCTGTTGTACGACCCAATGTAGCGAACATACCTCTACCCAAACACATCTCTATCTCATCCACTTTCATTTCGACTTCCTCTAGTTCTTCTGACTTTCCGGATTCCTCTCACTGCTCAAACACCCCTACTGCTACTGGAAGGAAGATGACTGCTTATCATGCCAAACTTCCTCCTAGTCTTGCCTCCTCTGAGTAGGAACCTAGTGGAAAATGAGAGTAGGCTAGGGATGAGTAAAGAATAACCTATACATATATGTAGGTATAATTATTAGTGACTGAGAGAAAAGTGGGTCGAAATCCTTAATCGTTAACTTTTGGAGGAAATGATATTTTTGATGATCATGGTTCTAGGGAAAAAGCCTGTAAGGTCATTTTTTGGTTGTTGTCTCTAATATTGTGACCCCACTTTATTTTGTATGTAATTCAATTATGTGTATATGTTTATATGACTGGATGACTGTATATTTTGACAGATGATATGTATATATGTATTTGGATAACTGGTGCAGATGATGTATTTAGTTTCTATTTATGTGAATAGACGTAAACTCATGCATGTGACTTTCTTACTGCTTGGATTATTTTAATATTATATTTATATTGATGGTGTAATAAGTAGTAAGGGTGTCACACGATATAAATACCTTGGGAAAAAAAGGGTGGTGGTGAGACTAATAGTGAGTGTGGGTGCACCACAGGCCACACACTTTCCTCCTGACTCGGCCTTTGACTAATACCTTTGCCAAGTGGCCCGTAACCGTACATGCTGTATCCGTGAGGCAGGGGTTATCCGACGACCATCCATGGTGAAAAACTGAGTAAGTCCCTGAGGTTAAGGGCATCAAGAAAACTGTGATCACAACACCATAGTGAGCATGACTAACGTGAAGTGAGTGCACGTGTGTATGGTTTGTTTGATGGTGCAGTGAGCGCACCTGTGTGTGAATGAGAATGAAATGATGGAACTAATGCTTTGTAGTTGTTGATGCCAGATTTAAAATATGTTAGAAATTGTTTATGAGTAGAATGCGTAAGGTGAGACTCTATGCTTATTTATGTGTGTGATAGTGTAGAGTACTTACCTTACATTTATTTTTTAGGTGACCAAGACGTTCAGCAACGGGTTCAATGATGGGATAGATGAGATTATTATAGGACTTAGAAATTTATTTAAAAAAATTTGATGTATTTAAATTAATCTTATAATATTAATTTGATATGAATTGTAATCTATCCTTATTTTGAAAGACTTTACTGAACTTATACACTGAAAAATTATTTGAATGAAATTTTATTATTTCTAATTTTGTGAAATTTATTTATTTAAAAAGTTAAATTAAGGTGTTACACCAAGAACATAAAATATTATATTTTTATTTTATATATTTATTTTTTTATCTATATTCAAATAAATAAATAAAATATTAATATTAATATTTTTATCATAATAGATATTTATTTCTTAAAAAAATTACTAGATATAAGTTTGTTTTAAGATATAACTTTTAATTTTTTAAAAATTTATACTTTTTTATTTGGTATATCATGATTTTTTTTAAAAAATAAGTTAATAATTTTTTAATTTTTAATTTAAATATACATTTATTCCTTATAATTGATAGTTATTTATAAATTATTCTTTATGGTTAACATGTACCTTTTGATCTTTATATGAATATTCTTTTAACATTTTAGCATGTAAGAATTATATTGTAACTTTTTTAATATAAAAAATAAATTAAAAAAAATATGTTTAAGTATAAAAATTATATTTATAATTTCACCTAAAATTAAACAATAACAATTCTTTTCTCCTTATAATAGTTGAGTTATCAATCATCAATATCTTTTTTTTAGTTTCTTCCATTGCAAGTTTCCCATCATCCCATTACAAGTTTGGTTTACTCTAATTAATTGAATGAATAATTATATTTATTGAATTATGGTGCTAGGAATGCAAAATAAAAAGCATCACAGTCCAATATTCAAGTGATACGGAACATCTTAAAATATCAAAAAATATAGTAAATTTTACTATATCAGACAAATAATTGCATAGCAATAAAATTTGTATTGATATGATAACACTTTAAAAGGGTGTTTTTGTTTAGTTTTTTTAAAATTATTTTTATGTTAAAAATACTCTCTAAAAATGTTTATTAAAAATTATATTTTAAATAAATCAATCTAAACATAACAAACTAAATAAAGACATTAAAATATTTTTATGGATAAAATTATAAATATTTTAATATTAATTTTAACTCTTAAAAGTACGAGAGAAAAATAAAACCATCTTAAAAAAAAAGACAAAAAATAGTAGCAAAAAAAATTCTAGAATTGAATAATTAGTTTGCATAGTATGTGGATTGAGATTTAAATTTACTTTTTATATAGAGTTTTTTCAGGTCTTGTAAGTTTTTACCATTCATTCAGAGTTGTCTCACCTTAATAATTTTAGTATCTTTTCTTTACTTTTTTCTATTTTGTGTTTATTATTGCCTAAAAACTTATATAGAGCCTATTTTAATTAAATAATAAAAAAAAAGAGATCAATTTTATGCATGAGAGTGAAAGAGAGAGAACGAAGGAAGTGAAGGAAAAGAGTCCAGGAAAAAATGAAAGTGGAGGAGAAGCTCAAGAGACTACAATCTCTTCTCTTAGACCTTTTAATTGCTTAATAAGAGAAGTCCAATTTGATTTAGCATATGACCGTTCTATTTTTAATCTTTCCAACAAGTAATAAACTTAATAGTACTATTTTTTAGAAATCAATATATTAAATACTTATAATAGTTTTTTTAATATTTATATTTTAATTAAAATATTTTTATAACAAATATCAAAAGAAATATTAGTGAATAAATTTCTCGTTAAACATATTATATATTTTTCATAAAAAATTACATAGACAATTTATACATAAAATTTGTATTTATTTACAAATAAATATTAACGAATAATTAAAAATATTGACATCTCTTTAACAAGGAAAAATAAACTATTAGTTTATTAAAAATTTAAAAATGTTTATTTCTATTAAAAACATAAAAATATACTTTCTTTTATAATTTTTGATATATTTTAACTCGCAACCCATTTCTAAGAAATAAAATAAATATATATGATTTACTCTTATCCTCTGTGAGAGGGAAATGGCGGGAGATGATGATGAGCGGAACTCACACAGAAACGCGTCAAAATAAGTAGTGATTGCTATTTCATTTTTTACCCATAACTTGTGAAAGAAAGAGAGAAAGAGAGAAAGAGAGAAAGAGAGAAAGAGAGAGAAAATGGAGGAAGTGAAGGAAAATGGTTGGAGAATAGAGGTAGAGGAGAAGCTCAAGAGACTGCAATCTCTTCTATTCGGCGTTGAACGGGCTCTCCAAAACAACGATTTCTCTTCTGCATACGTTCTTGCGCTTCGTCTCCTTGGATTCCTCGACGCACATTCTCACTCCGACGTCGACGAAGCCTTCCTTCAACCGATTCGCCGCGATGCACTCGCCAAACTCAACTCCGCTCGCCGTTCCCTAAACCCTCAATCAAATCGGTATCTGATTTCTTTTTGTTTTTTGAATTTGATGCTATTTTTTTTAATTATTCAAGTAATTGTGCCTATTCATAATAATAATAATAATTAAAAATAATAATTCGTTTGGAATTTGAAGTTATATGGTCATTTGGATAACATTTAACACAAAAGTAAAAACGAGCTTGTAGAAATATTTGTATAAGATAGGCCTAGATAAGAAAGTTCGGATAAGCATCCATAAGAGGTTATAACTCGGATACGAGCTTATTGAAATACGTTTCACTATGTCTATGTATGGTAAATCTAGTTGAAATCTTATAGCTTATAACTGGTTGATTGAATTAGAACTGTTAAGTAAAATTAGCTCTCAACTAGTTTAAATGGTTAAAAGCAAGTGTTAAGGTTATTTTTTGTACGTGTATTTTGTTTAAAATGGTTGAGAATAAAGAAGGAAAAAAAAAATATTCAAAGCTGGATGGTACTTGGAGTAAATTTTTCATTAACTAATTTTTAAAAAGTTATAAACTTCCTTTATTTTTTTGTCATCAAACAGCTCTACTAGTTTATTGAAAAAAATAAAAAAATTATAGGCTCTTCAATAAGTTACAAGGTTTTATTACTAAATATACTATTAACATTTAAAAAGAACTTGTAGAAAGGTTTGTCACTTATCTAAGTTTAACTGAATAGGTGTTTGTATGATTAACCTAAATAAGCAATTTCCTATGTATACTTCCAAACATTTTAAAGAGTACTTGTTGGATAAGTTGAAGTATGGTCAGCAAAAATTGAAAAGAAAGAATTTAGTTAGAATATGTCAATATTTAATTATACTAGTTGGACAAGACAAATTGGTGGCAACCACCCTTAGTTTTTTGATAATTGTGATGCAATGTGTCATGAATTTGGTGTTTCCTTTTTTCACTATATTACATTGTCAGCAAAAAATTAAAGAATTCTGTCAGAATTTATCAAATTTTGGTAATAATTCAAACGCACTTGTTAGTTTGTTTGAATTTCTGTTTGCAAAATGATTGTCTGAGCAAAAATACTTGTCTGGTGTACATTTTACTCGAGCCTTAATTTTGGTGTTTTGAGTTAAAAATTAATACGAACCTGAGAACAAAATTGCAAAAGCTAGCTGTTGTAGTTAGAGCCCAAGACCTTTTAAACTCCACATTAGAATTCTACACTCTGAATGTGGGAATCAAGTTTCATATCTTGGAACTGGATCCTAACATCCCACTGTGCACTGCAGCCTTAGCGTCCACATGGGCTGGCTGTTCATAAGCCTCTTGACTATTCTTGAGCAAACACTGTAATACTAGAATCACCGCCTACTCTGCTCAATTACAACTGAAAGACAATGTGAAAGGCTCTGATACCAGTTGATAGGAATTTGGTATCTTTATTAGGAAACACAAGGAGCAAGTGCCCAATTTATTGAAATGTGAACACACACTCAACACTTTTTTGAGGGACTGCACTTCTGAAGTCAAAGATCCTAACTCTCTAAGAATTGAGGAGCTGATCTCTCTCTTCCTCTTTCTTATTTATAAAAGAAATATGCGTTATTTCTTTAACAATCTCAATTTGCCCAACTACTAACTAACTAATATATTGTAGTTAACTACTACTAGGTCCTTAACTAACAACTTGTGGGGGTTATCCAACAAAAACCAAAGATGATAAAAGTGATGGGAAACCACTCTTCTTTACTTTAAAGCTGTGATACAATGTTTGAACTTAAACTTCACTTGTTTGACCGCTTTTAATTTACTCTCACATGTGTTCTGTCTTGATTTTCTGTGGCTGTCACCTGTTGCCATGCTCTTAACATTTTGGTTCTTCTCCATTTTCTTAGCCAAGCTTTTGACCATGCAAAGAAGTCTCCAGGATCTGTTTTTGGCACAACAGGAGATATTGACTTGGAGAAGATTCAGAATTCAAAGTACTTTCGAGCTCTGGTCAAGCAATCTAAGGAAAAAGTTGAGAATCAATTGGTAGACATGCTGACAGTCATACTGTAATTAAAATCAATTTGTTTATTGTACTAAAAAACACAATTTATTTGTTTTTTTCCTTCTCCTACATATTTTTTAGGTAATGGTTTGTGCATAAAATATGTTTTTCTTTAATCTATTAATTCAGGTTGATCAACGGGGAAAGCAGGGGAAAGCAGGAAGCAAAGCCTCAAAGGAAATGGTGCAAGCGAAGTTAACATCCATGTATGGGAAAGGCAGTTTGAGGACTGGTAATGGTTCCAGGAATTTTTTGAACATGAAAAATAATAGCTCTGAGGACTGCATGATTGTTGATAGGCCTCAATCTCATGCCAACCATACAATGGATCCTGGTGGTGTCTCTTCTGTCTTGCTAGTTGGAGGAGAAGAAAGAGCTTTCCGAAACACTTTTTTGACAAAACGTGTACACATGGAAAATAATAGCCCCCGAGTTGGTTGTGTAAAGTCGCCTTCAAGCAAGGAGGAAGCTAATCCTGATGCTTGTGGTAACGGGTTTGTTACTGCCAGAGCAAAATTGGTAAAATTATTTCACCACATGCATCTACTTTCTCCTTTTTTATTTCTGTCAATGAGTTTGGAAAATTGGGATGGTGTTAGGAGTTAAGAAAAGGGAAAGTTAGTTGAAGTAGTTATTGTAGTTAGTTAGTGGAAGGGATTAGTTAGTTAAAGTAGTTTTTGAGGTAAAAAAATAGGATGAAGATGTAAGGGAAAGAATTCAGATTTGGTTATCTTTTGTAAACTATGCTTTTGCTCTGTGAAAGGAGAAATCCTTTGTGAAGGGGAAACCCTTGGGAAGAATTTTATTCTTCATTTTCTGTTCTGTTTTGCAAGTTCTGTTTCTTTAATTCTTCTTTAGTTTCCACTTTATTTTCTCCTAATAGATGGGGTGGCATGTTTGCTGTTTTACAATTATAAACATTTCAATTTTATTCCGTCAAATTTGGCGCATATATTGCATTTCCTTCCACTTTTGTTATGTCTTTATACAATGCACTGATTTTTCTTTTTGTGCATGTTATTCTACCAAAAACAATTTTTTTAGATTAAACTTGAACACATTGTTTGAGGAAATACCCTTGATAAGGCAAGAGCAAACTCACTATTATTGACTAGCTGTCAAACAAACATTCTAGCAAGAGAAAGGAAACGCTTGTTATCAGCATGCAGCAAACATCTGAGTTAAATGACATTCTTGTGGTAATTTCTTTGCATGTTGCAATGTTGATGATATATACCTATTGGGGTAGGAAATGGAAACAAAGCAAAGGCGAGGAGTAGGTGGTTCACCCAGTGCATCTGTCTCACCACAATGCGATAACAATCCTGCCAACAGGTTATACGGTGGGAGATCATATGGTGTTTCACGACGTGGCTTCCGTGGTAATTTTGTTCCTCCCATTAAATCCAATGGGAACGGTTCTGGAAATATGAGTTCACGCGTTGCTGGGAAGTGTGATGATTCTTTAGATGATTCTACAAAAAGATGGTCAGTAGTACAAATATTGTATTTTTCTTCAAGTTCTTACTTCTCGCTCCTCATCTGCATTTCTGTAACTCTCAAATTCATTCTTTTTATATTAAAAAATCCAAATAACTATTCTTTCAAAATTTTTTGGACAGCATTTCAGATGTGTTTCAATCTTACAATCTACTCTATCAACTCATCTAATGGCAAGGTGTTCAAACCTTACCTAATATGGCTACACTAATCTCTCTCTCTCTCTCTCTATATATATATATATATATATATTAAACCTAATGTTTACCTTCATTCCTCATGTGAAAATTAACAAAACTGAATTTGTCTTTTATTTATTAATTTTAATTGCAGATACTGGGACAAGTGTTTTGGAATTTTTGCATTTAAAAACCTTGCATCTCTTCCCCATATGTTGTTGATCTCATGATTGATAACTGGTGGGATGATAATGCATTCACTTCCTAATATGTTTCCTATGCTTGTAGTTTGGAAATCCTGTGTGGTCCTGATGGTGAGCTTCCTGAGAAATTGAGGAATTTGGAACCTCGCCTCATTGAACATGTTAGTAATGAGATTATGGATAAAGATCCCAATGTCCGGTGGGATGATATTGGTAATATAAAAAACTATTCATCTTTCTACTTAGTTCATCAAATTGGAAGTGTGCATACTTAATGAAACTACTTATATGCTATGCTATGCTACCTGTTATTTAATGAAAATGTAGCTGGATTGGAGCATGCCAAGAAATGTGTCACTGAGATGGTCATATGGCCTCTGCTACGTCCTGACATATTCAAGGGATGTCGATCCCCTGGGAGGGGTCTGCTTCTGTTTGGCCCACCTGTAAGTGAAAACTTCTCTTACTGATGACAAATTGCAAAGACTGGTTTTTATTCTCTCTTATAATTTGAATGATAGGGAACTGGTAAAACAATGATAGGAAAAGCCATAGCAGGGGAGGCAAAGGCAACCTTCTTTTACATATCTGCAAGTTCGTTGACTAGCAAGTGGGTAAGTTGGATATGCTTAAGCTTTAGCTGTCTTTTTTGACGGTTTGATGATATATTTCTGTTAAATATCTATGCAGTTTATATGATTTTCTTCAGTCTTAGTTAGATGGGTAACCAAAATCCCAAAAACTATTATAATGTTTCTTCTTGCTGCTCCCAAATGGTTCCTGTCTCTGCTACGGGCACCATAATCAACTCATGAACTGGGATTGTCTAATTGTAAATATCCTAGGGACCCTGCTTTCAATGCTAATGATATATTTACTGATAATTATAGATTGGTGAAGGTGAAAAGCTAGTAAGAGCCCTTTTTGGTGTTGCCAGTTGTCGTCAACCAGCAGTAATTTTTGTTGATGAAATAGATTCGCTCCTATCTCAGGTATGCTATATATAATCAATAATGATAGCATAAATATTTATTGCTACATTATGTTCTGATGAAAACTTCAAGCTGAGCAATAGCATTATCATCTATATGGAAGTTCACATGCAATTTTACGATGTGAAAATTTTACTGCAACTACAACATGCATTTTTTTCTCTTCATCAGTGAATGTATTTATACCTTGTTGCAGCGTAAGTCAGATGGTGAGCACGAATCAAGTAGACGGCTAAAGACACAGTTTCTCATTGAAATGGAAGGCTTTGACAGTGGTAGTGAGCAAATTCTGCTTATTGGTAATTGTTGACTAACTGGGTTGAAATTACTTTTTATCTTTTGTTTTGCAGTACTCTCCTATTTTAGCTCACTAACTGTCTCTTCCGTGATAATTAATAGGTAGCTAATGCAAGGCCTTATAGTTCAACAATATTTGCAATTTCAACTATGGCAGTTAAAATGTGTTTTAGTAAACCTAAGACATGATGATGCATTTGAACATGATTGTATGAAGCAACGAAGGAAACATAAGGCTATAATTTGATCATGGGCAAACTTTCTCAAGTCCATTTTGTTTCTATGTACCTACTCATAAAGAAGGAAAATTTAGGCCCTGTTTGGTTTGAGAAGATGTTTTTGTTTTCAGATCCTATTTTCACAAATTACAAGTGACAGTTAAAACAGAAAATGTTTCCCAAAGCCCTTAGCTAGCCTATCTTTGTTTTCAATTGTTTTTGTTATTATGCAAAATGATTTATTAAAGAAGGACCACTGCTACACTTTTTGCTGGTAATAATGGGACCATCCCTATAGATAATCTAATTCATTTACATTTTTCTAGAAGTATATATTAGAGATTTGTCTGTTTAGTGTACCCTGATGTACAATGGAATGGAAACTTCATGTTTTAAGTTTGATCTTGTTTTAAGTTTGTTCTAGATATCATGTGTTTGTAGATGTACTCTGGTAATTGTGATCCAAGTAGCTTGAGCTTTTTGGTCCAAGAAGATTTTGTTTCATAGCTTACTTTTGGCATTGATGGTAATATACTTCCACATACATTAGTGCTGTCATACTATTTTGGTAAAATTTATACAGGGGCAACAAATCGTCCCCAAGAGCTTGATGAAGCCGCACGAAGGAGACTTACTAAAAGACTTTACATTCCCCTACCATCCTCAGGTGCTAATCATGATTCTCCATTTTTATTTACAAACTCTTTGAGCACCTGGTGACTAACTTAAATGTCTTGGACATAAAAGAGGCAAGAGTTTGGATTGTACGTAACCTTTTAGAAAAAGATGGATTATTCAAGCTGTCAAATGAGGAAATGGATACTATATGCAACCTAACGGAAGGTGTGAATTTACATTTTTTTTAATTACAGTATCTTCTGCTTAGCATTTGACTGCTAAATTTAAATAACTTTTCATTGGTTTCTGGTGATCTACTTTGCTTTTACTTGGTTCTAGGTTATTCAGGATCAGACATGAAAAATTTAGTGAAGGATGCTTCTATGGGACCCCTAAGAGAGGCTTTAAGGCAAGGCATTGAAATTACAAAGTTGAAAAAAGAGGATATGCGGCCAGTAACTCTTCAGGTATGCAGAATGCTGCACGCTGAACCTAGAAATTTCAATAATATTTTTCATGCTGATTAATTTTAAGGTTGCTAAAGTCACTGGTTAAGGAATCAAATAGAATTTTTTTTGTTGGAAATTATGTTAGGATGCATTAGAAATTACTGATTAGGCTATTGTAAAACCAATAAAAATTTTCACTTATAATTCTTGAACCAAGTATCCTTAGGATATTGGTTAGCTTTTTCCTTAATTTTAAAATGGTTTGTTTCATGTAGGACTTTGAGAATGCCCTGCAAGAAGTGCGGCCTTCTGTTTCCCCAAATGAACTTGGCACTTACGATCAATGGAACAAGCAATTTGGAAGCCTATCACTGTAGTGGCATGCGTTAACAATAAGGAGACAACATATCAACAGTTAATGACAGAGATCTTTATCTTAATACCTGCAGTATGTTAATCTTTATGTTTAAATCAGCTCAGATTGCGCGCCTTGCACAATCCCTTACATATAAATCATCAATTGACGCGACCAAGTGGAATGCCCTGAACAGTTTTAAAAACTTAGGTCTCCAGCAAAAAACCATGTTTTGCAGGCGGCATTTTCTTTATGATGTTGATTACGAACATGTTCAATGGTCGGGATTTAGCTAAAAAAACACATGCAAAACTTTACTGTATTGTTTGTCTGATCATTTGTTGCTTGGTTTGATTCAGAAACAGAAACATACCATACACCAATAGTCTATTGTTCCATGACATGCTTTGATTTCTTTGACCTAGTGTGTTTCAGTAAACTTCGGTTGTGAAAGTTATTGAAATAAATTTAAAAAATATTTGGATAAACTATATTAATTTAAGCAACTAATAATAGTAATATTTTATTAAAAATTATTTATTATATTTTGATAATTTTAATATAATAGTGTTTTTAATTAAAAATATTATTTTTGAATGCTTAAAATGTATAGTCATAACATTTGACGTTAGCAAAATATTATAAACAAAAACACTCATTAAATTGTGGTACATTTAGTTTCACTAGTTTTTTTCGTTAAGTTAAAATTAATACATACATATACCATGCAATTTTGTTCTTGAAATCGTCTATTTTTTAAAAAATTATTAGAACTCATCTAATGCAATTATTTTATTGCAATAATGTTATTAATGTCTTAAAGATGCATATAACTATAGAATATCCTAATATTAAATTAAATTTGGTTACATATGCTTAGGTCGAAATTATTATTTTTTATATTTTAATATTCTTTTTTATTTTGAAAAGAAAATGGCCCACTTTAAACAATTTTTATGTTGGGCAATAATTTCTACTTTCTTGCATATCTACACTTGCAATACATCTTTAGTCAAACTAGACTACATGGTCGACCAAAAAGTCAAAAAACTAAACTACATGAAATCACAAATAAAGATTGCAATGTTTCATATCATAGTGTTGAGGTAGCAAGTGAGTGAAGAAGAATATAGAAGTAGCATCATATATAAGCTACAAGAACTCACTAACTTAATGCTACAAGTTTGTGTTAGATATGGTATTCAATTAACTTGTATTGTTTGCTCTGTCTTAATAGAGATAATATTTATATTTTAAACCTCTTTTGTATTTCCTAATATCTGTTTGCTCAGTCTTCATCTTGCAACTGAGTGAAAACAAAGAGCATAGTGTCAAAAAAAAAAAAAACACTATCTTTAAATTAAAAAATATATATATTATTTATGATGATAAATGAATGATTGAATTTAAATTTATGTTAATATATTAATTTATATCTTTTATTTTAAAAAATATTAATTTTAAATACATATTTAAAATACAAAATATATATTTTTTTTCTCTTCTCTTCTTTTCCCTTCAAAATCCTCCTTCCTAAATAAACCCTTAAGCTATGTTTGAAAGTTGTAATTAGGAGGGGAGGAGAGGAGAATTTTTTGAAAGTTTTTCTAAACTCTTCTAATGCTAATTTTTTAAGTTTTTCTATTTTGTGAGATTTTCTCTCTTCTACACTTTCATAATCTTTCATAAATAAGTTTCTAACTTTTTTTTAAAAAAAAGATTTAATTTTTCAAGTGATGATTTTTTTAAAATTATTTCATAAAAAATAAAAATAGTAATTTTAAAAATATTAATTTTAAAATTATTAAATTTTATAAAAAGAAAAATATTTATTTTTTTATTTTTTGTTAAAATAAAAAATAAAAAATATAATATTATTTATATAATTAAACTTTCATTACTCTATTCTCTCAATATTAAACATTCAAATAAAGGAGGCCTCATTCCTCCTCCCCTTTCCTCCCCTTTCAAACCCTTTATTTCCTCTCTTTCCAAACTCTCAAACAAAGTCTTAAAATTATGCTCTTTAATTTCCTGCTTTTTATGAACTTTTATTACTCACTATTAAGTGTATTTTTTTTTCCTTTTCTTTTTAAGTAATTTTCTTTTTCTTTTTTTCCCATCCTTTTCTCATCATCTTTACCACCACTCTTCCTTCTTCAAACTTCTCACCTTCACAACCATATCATCACTTCCTTTTTTTTTTTATCACAATTTTCCATTGTAACCCTTTTTCATTTCTAAAGTCTCAAAATTCTTTTTGCAAATTCTATTGCATTTGAAACCTTTTAGACTTGCTAAAGTCTTTAAACTTGAGATTTCCTTTTGCTCGCTTGATATGAACTGTAGTAATGGGTGTATGGATTCTCTCCGTCCGTTCTCTCTATCCTCCATTCAAAATATGTACACTTTATGTTGTGTCTTCGGCATTTTTAATATCCTTTGAATGAAAAATAAAATAAAATCAGGTACAAATACCATGGTACATTGATCTATAGAACTTGTAAACTTGCTATTTATATATAATCAACGATACGTTTTCAAGTAATTAAAAAAACATGATTGGAAACTAATGAGAAGAAAAACCAAACTCTTCATCAAATGCCAACTAATTGGTCAAGTGTTTTTATTCAAGAAATGGATACCCGTTTGCCACAAGTTAAACATTGTTCTGTGTCACTATAAACCAAAGACGCTATGAAATCCCAAATCACAGAAAGAAAGGGTATAAAATTTTAACTACTCTACGCTCTATCAACCCAGAACTATACCAGTAGCGCCAGCAAGGGGCATGCATTACTGGAGAACTTGTATCAAAACGCGATTGTTTAGGCAAAACGTTCCATTTTTTGTCATAAATGCATTCATTGCTTGAGTCCTTGAATTGAAGCGTACTGTGGCCATTTTAATAGGATCTGAACCTCTGGCTGCTCCAGGCCTGAAAACAAGCAAGAACCATAATCATTTTGAAAGAATCATAAAAATATATACAAAATATACTTGACATTAACCTTAAAAACATATTGACGGAGGATGCATCGTATTCATATCCGAACAGTATGCGAGTTACATCTTCAAATGATGCACTTCGAGGAATGCCTCGAATTAAAATCTAGCAAAATCAGGCACTGTTAGATAAAATTTGTTCCACAGTTTCATTTGCATAAAACAAAATTATACAAGTAATCTTCAGTTTAAAAAGGTATTTCCAGATATAATTTTTAGTTTTAACTATCCTGTCAAAGATCCATTTATATTGCATCAGTGATAAACAACCATAACACTAATTTCCAAATCCAAGTGATATGCAGATTATGAACATAAAGAGTTGTCCAATAAGTAACTCATAAACTGAAAGAATTTGATAATGTAAACTCATTGCCATGTTCTGACATGGATAATTGTACCATGAAACTCTGAAGGTTGTAAACTTAAAACCTTAGAACTCTTGAAACATTCTTGCAGTATATCATAAATGGATAGCTATTATCAGACTAACACCTTTCCTTTATTAGCAAAGTATTATTAAAATCATGTGCTGCAAGGCCTCTGAGAACGGCGCGATTCTAAATGACATTTTATCTATGATGCAGTCAAGCATGTTACCATGAGCATGCATAAGAATGCAATGCCTCAAACAACTTGGTCCTGGACTGACACATTAATAACTTTCAGAATCTGACGGCTAGGAAGTTTCAGATTATTGGATATAACTCTCTAATTTTACTCTTGTTACTTAATAAAATTGCTTTCTCTTTTGTTATCCCAGGTATTTTAATTGCAAGTCCAAAGAATTCTTGTAAAAGGTGTATAATAAACATTCCTTAATTATACAAGTCAACATAATCAACCAAACTTCTACATATTCCATTTCTCCAGAAGAATAACAAAATATGTACTTACATTTATTAACAAAGAGTTAAAGTAATAAGTGTAGGTCTTATATAAAAGATTAAAAAATTTAGAACTTTAACCTCAGTGAGTGTGCGTGATCACTAACTATTTGTAAATCAATGCAAAACATCATGCTTTCTATTTTAACTCATTTGAAATTTTCTAATATCTCTTCGTAAAGTCTGAAGACAATTAGTTCCATATTGATATATATATTTCTAAATATATGTTGTAATAAATTTGATAAAATTTCTTTGGATACCTAGGCATTGATGAATAGGCTTCTCACAATTTCATCATTTGGTTATTTCAAACATATGAGAGAAATCATCAAAGAATAACAACTTCTCTTCCAAAAACAAGATTTGCAAAGCAAGGTAAGAATTTATACTGACAGTTTTTCCATCATATGGAGTCACGATGTCCCATTGGGCACGATCAGCCTGATATCAATGAAAAGGAAAAAAAATCAAACATTTTTCCAATCATGAACAAATATAAAAACTTTTTTTTCTTTTACAACAGATATATGGAGAGCACCATACCCGATCCAATTTGTACAAGCGACCCCTCTTTACAATCACCCTTATAGCATTGTCATAGTTATCACGAGTAGGGAATTGCAACATCCTGATGATAGCCAAAACTTCAATTTAAATGATATTCTTCAAGTACACAGTCTAAGATGAAGCAAATTTAGTCAAATGCAACAATAATAATAATCCACTTGCAGGATGTAAGCTATGCTAGATTGTGTGGGAAAGAGTCAAGCCAATGAACTGGGCTTATAACAGAATACTAATGTGGCAATTGAGAAAGAGAGAGAGAGAGGGAATTAAGTTGGGAGAAAAAACGAGAGAGGTAGGCAAGAATTGGGTAAGATTTGGGAGGAAAGGCTAGCAGGCCCTCAAAAATCTGCTCTATCTTTTCACTTTTCCTTTTCTTGTATTCCACCTGTGATTGGGATTATTTCCATTAATCTTTAATGAGATACCTGGTTTCCGATCACAGGATGAGAATAATAAAATCTTACATTTCATGACATTGTAATGAAAAGGTAAATATTTGAATTTATATTTCCTTTGCATTATCCTAAACATCTTCGAAAGTTTTAAAAAAATGCCATTCACTTTGATGTGCAAGATATGCAACTGATTATAATTCTATGCCAAAATACTAAAACCTCCACAATTCTCTCAAAGCAAGACATGGAATACATTACATTGCAAGTGGGTAAAAGCCACGATCGTAGTCAATTTTAACATCCTCTAGAGTCAAATTACAACCTTCCAGGAAGTTGATGATATCTGTTTTTAGTACATGTTTACGAATGCCGAGCATCCTACCATATGTCACACCTAATGAGAGAAAGAGAAAAGGAGACTGATCATCAATTTCGATGGAAATTATGCAAGCTAATAAAAGAACTGTTATGTGTTAAAAGGAATTATTTAGAGCATGGCTAGCAGTAAATGGGTTAAAGTTAAACATATCAATTAGCATCTTATTTTCAAAATTCAAATGTAAGCATAGCCATATATTCTGTCACTTGCATCAATGACAAATACCGTAAATCAAATTCCTATAATATCATATGTTTATCATTCGCAATTCTCAAACCAGTAAACTATTTTGGCTTTTCATTTTTAACAGCATAGTGATTAGATGTACGCCAATTGAGGAAAATCTTGAAACATTAATAATGATGATGATGCAAAGGAGGCTTTTGCCTGGCATACTATTTACTTGAAATATACACAGAAACTTATTTTTTTTTATTCCAATTTAATTAAAAGGGACATGTAACTACAAATTAACAATTAGAGACTAAGGGACATAAGGGGAAAGTTTTTATTGCCAGGTGTCCCCTGCAATGTGCTCTACTCTTTTCCATTCTTTTATCCCCTCCCTCCCCCTTGTAACCTTATGATGAGCTTTACCTTGGAATAAAAAAAACATTTATAAAAATATTTACACAGTGATTGGAAGGTTACATGATGACATAACAATATATTTCTCAGTTTAAAAATAATATTTACTTAAAATGAAAATTTTCTTCCCCTTTCCTTTCTCTCCAAACTCCTCGAGCTAGCATACCCTAATGGTTTGTTTGGGATGGAAAGTTTAAGAGGGAAAGGAAAAACATTGATTTTCAACAAAAATTTTAATTTGGTAATTTTCAAACTGAAGATATAAAATGATAGATTAACAAAGCAGTAGCAGCAGCAGCAACAACAACAGTAACAACAGAAACCTTATCCCACCCTAAACCCCAAAAGATATATTAATTATTTATTTATCATTAAGAAAAACTTTGATTTTCAACAAACATTTTAATTTGATAATTTTCAAACTAAAGATATAAAATGATAGACTAACGCAGCAGTAACAACAACAATGCCCTATCCCACCCTAAAAAACCAACTGATATATTAATTATTTATTTATCATCATGAATGGTATATAATTCTTAATTGAAAATAAAAACTTTATCCTCTCTTCTCTTCCCCTTCATAAACCCCTTCCCAAACATCCCCTAAAGTTACCAGTACCCTCGTAGAAACAAGGATACTCCTCATCCAAATAACATCATCAACAACAACCACAACCACAACAATTAAAATTCCATAAAAACTAAGGCAACTTAAAGACCTAATTGTGAGAACAGAAACGGAAGAAACAAGTGCATACATAAAAATAAAAGGGGGTGTTACCTGAATCATCAGTGTGAAGGAATGGAGGAGGGGGCATTGAACTCTGTGGCGCTTCAGTGGAGAAGAAGCACCTTGCTGGGAAGCCATCACTTCTCTGAACAAATGCAACAGCACTAGCACTACACTTGGATCTCAGTGCAGCCCTAACAACACTACTCATCTTTCACAACACACCTATAATTTCCAAATCATAATAACAACGAAAAGAAAAGGTCATAGCCACATACCTATTCATTTTGTGCATAAATACATGTTTTTTATATGTAGAAATGTAGTTTGCAGCCACTAAGAAAACAACAATGAAAACGGGTATCTAAAACGAAGATTTTTTTTTTCAAGATCACCTTTGGTCGCCAGAAAGCACTGAGAGAAGAGGACCAGAGAAGCAGTGTAGTGAGAAGAACCATAGGGTATCATCACAACACAACACACAACAAAGTTGAGGGCATCGGATTGAGTGGGCTTTGGGTTTGTTTCGGCCCATCAATATTCTCAAATTGTCCACTTACACGACTATTCTCAAATTAGTTTCCTTAAAACATTGTAGATTTTTTTTTTTTATATTCCTACAATTTTCTTGCAGTTCCATTTTTGTATTTGATAATTTTTTATTTTAAAAATTTAACTAAAAAAATAATCATGTAAAGACAAATATTATAAACATAAATAATTCGTCTAAGAAGTAAAACATTCCATAAAATTATTTTTTTTCATATTTTGTTACATGCACTTTTTAATACTAAAATTATTTGAGAATAAAAGAGTGAATTGTACTCTTTTTTATTACAATAATTTTATTTTATTAATTTTTTTACTAATTTTATTTTAAATTTTAAAAATAAAAGTTATTAATTTTTTCTTCTTACCTTACGTAAAAATTTTAAATTATCTTCAAATATCTTAATTTATATAAATTTTATAATATTTAATATATCATTTTAATTATTTAAAATAAATTATATTTTAAAATTATTATAATTTTATTAAATATTTATATTGTGATAATATTATTTGTTGTTATATAATTAAATTAAAATTATTTAAAAAATAATATTTCAATATAATTTTATTATTATTGTACGAACTGCGAAGAATTGTATTATAGAAGAATAATTTTTGTGCTAGGTAAACTATTTTTTTTTTCAAAATTAATTACCACTTTATAATTTTTAATTAGGACAATTCCAACCAACAAAATTTCATAAGTTTCTCAATTTTTTATATAATGTTTCACATTTTTATATAATATCACATCATTTTTACTATTGTCTTTAAGGAATTTGAGTAATTATTTTTTAATTTTACCTTAGTAATTGTAAAATATTTGTTAAATAGATTCCATAGTCTACCTCACAGTTTTAAACTTTATTATTCATCGTTATTTCAATTTGATATATTTCGATCTTGTTTTTTAAAACAATTTTTTTATTAAATAATTTTTTCAGAAACTTAAAATGTATAAAATATACCGTATTTAAATCAATGACAATTCATTAAGCATGTAGCAAAATATATGATATTTTGATAATTAAAATATAGTTTAACTCTGGTTATTTTTATGTCTAAAACTATTCTCACATATGTGTGATAAAATCTGATAGAAGACAACGACCCATTTTTCTTTTCTCCTTGGTAAGTATTTGATACGACGGAGAAAAAGGCCATTCAATACATCATAGACTAACAAATTATTATCTAGATGATAATATGAATAATTAAAATTGTCATTATAAACTTTTCGATCATTTCTTAATAATCATGTAACAAAATCTATTTCTTTTAACGTGAGCTGAAATAACACATGTTAGGAAACATTAAATACACTTTATTAAATACCTTAAATTATTATAACAAATATATATTAAATATTTTTTATTTTAAAATAATAAATCTTTTTAATAAATGAAATTATATTAAATATTTAAAAAATTAAATTTTATCACTTAAAATGATCTTATCTAATTCAAACACAATTATTTGAAGAATAATTTTGTATTTAATTAAAAATTAATTTTATGATAAAATATTGAGATACTCCTTCAATGATTAACACTTATTATTATTTTAGTAAGTTAGAATGCACATTTAAAATAAAAAATAGATTTATAAACAATAGCTTCTCTCCAAAATTTACTTTCTTTTCAAGTGTTCTTTATTCCTGTCTTTCCTAGTTTTATCTCTTGTAAAGACAAAGTCTTAGAATCTAAAAGTTTAGATCTAGTTCTGAATTATGACATAATAGTTAAATCGGTATTGGATGATTTTAATATTTACTGATGTAGGAAGTTTATAAGGAAGCCATGTTGCAGCCAGTCAGTTTCATTATGATAATTCTGTTATGATTTTCATTCTTGCATTGTTAGTTGGTAGTTATAATTAGTTGGTGCAATGTATCTCTATAAATAACAAGCTCTAAACCAAGCTCATGGTGAGGAATTTTCAATCAAACACTTTTTGTAATCTTTCTCTTTTAGTTCAATACAATTCTTTGGATTCTATTCTTCCATTAGAATCCCTAAGTTCTGTAGTTCTTAGAATAGTTCCTATTCCTAATGCTACCTTCATCAATGGTATCAGCTTGGACCTTCTATCAACAGTTATGGCAGAAACAACTCGTAATCAAGCAGTGATGCATGAACAAGAGGAGCATTTGGAAAGCAAGAACATAGCAAAACTCGAAGCGTGCATAATTGAGATCATATCTTCAATTCGTTAAGCAATTGATTCTTCGGTTGATCAGCGAATCTTAGAGACTTTATGCAAGAACACAGATTTAGAGGGTGATGGCACTCTTGAAGATTTTTTAGTGAAATTGGCTGTAATCCACTTCGAAGGTTTGTGAAGACTCTTCCAAGAGGTAACCTTCCTGATTGGATTGAATTTACAAACATATTAATAGATTATTTTGGTGAAGTATTCAATGATCCCATGTCAAGACTTATGAAATTAAGATAGAAGGGAACTGTGGTGGAGTACTATGATCACTTTGATTTAATAACTTCTAAATTGGACCAAAGGACTTTGTTATTTTTGTGATGAACCCTATAGCCCTACATATGCCTTAACATATAAGAAACTTGAGATTCATGTTCTAGAGGTGAGTGATACTGAGGAAGAGCCTGTACATCAGTTTAATGACACTCAGGAAGATGGTAGTACTTCTTTGGACCCTCAAATATTATTTAATGCACTGATTCGGTATAGCCAACTTCAAAACTATAAGAGTGACTGGTTACTATAAGAAGAAACCCTTGCATATACTCATTGACAGTGGAAGTACCCATAATTTTCTAGATGAGGAGGTGGCTAAGAAATTGGGTTGTCGTATAACAAATATTCCTACCTTAAGTGTGGTTGTAGCTGATGAAGCTCGGATAAATATTACTTCTATTGCTAAGTAGTTTCTTGGACACTTCAAAACACTAGATTTAGCTCAGATATGCTTCTTATACCCCTAGAATGTTGCGATGTGGTGCTTGGAATTGAGTGGTTAGTTACTCTGGGGAATATTACCTGGAACTTTGATAGGTTGTCCATGCAATTTTATGTTGAGAGGGGCAACAGGTGAGGGACTAAAAACTGCCAAAAAATAAATAAATTACAGAAGACAATTGCCTCCGGTATGCATTTGTCTATGCTACAATTGTGTGACAAGGATAATAGTTTCCTACTGCACTCATTAACCACATATGTTGACAGTCAAGTTATTCCTGAGTCTATAGATGAATTACTATTGCAGTTTGAGGACATTTTTCAGGAACTTACCAGACTGCCACCTTAGAGAAAAGGTCATGATCATAAAATTCTCTTGGTTGCTAGGGCTAATCCTATTAATAAGAGGCCCTACAAATATGCTAAGTAGCAAAAAGATGTTATTGACAAGTTGGTACAGGATTCTGTTAAGTCTGGTATAATACAGAAAAGTATCAGTCCTTTTGTATGTCCTGTTGTCCTAGTTGGCAAGAAAGATGGCTCTTGGAGACTGTGTTGACTTCAGAGACCTTAATAAGCAGACAATTAAGGACAGGTTCCCTATTCCTTTAGTGGATGATCTTTTGGATGAGTTACATGGTTCTAAGGTGTCCTCCAAAATTGATTTACGGTCAGGTTATAACCAAGTGAGAATGGAGGACAGTGATATCTATAAGACTGCGTTTAAGACACATGGGGGCCACTTTGAGTATTTGGTCATGCCATTTGGCCTAACCAATGCACTAGCCACCTTTCAAGGTCTCATGAATGATGTTTTTAAAGAATACCTGAGAAGATTCTTTTTGGTATTTTTTTATGACATCTTAATATATAGCAAGAATTGACAGCACCATCTCTCTCATTTGCATATGGTATTATTGATTATGAGAAGGAATTCCTTGTATGTTAAGAAATCTAAATGTTACTTTGGTGTAGAAAGAGTTAAGTGTTTAGGCCATTTTATCTCACAAGATGGTGTATCAACTGACCTTGCAAAAATCATAGCTGTCAATAACTAGCTGATACTAACATCCTTAAAGCAATTGAGGGGTTTGTTTTGGGACTTACAGGGTATTATAGAAAGTTTGTTCAAGGATATGGTGATATTGCAAGGCCCTTAACTAACATGCTAAAGAAAAATAATTTTCACTAGTCTGAGGAAGCAAAAGTTGCATTTCAGTCCCCTCAAGAATAGTCTGATTCAGTCACCAATATTAGCATTACCTGACTTCTCTAAAGTGTTTGTGGTAGAGGTAGATGCTTCAGGTCAGTGCTAATGTAAAGCCACCATTCAATTGCTTTTATTAGCAGGATCCTCAATATGCAACAACAGTCACTTTCCACATATAAAAAGGAACTATTAGTAGTAATCTTTGCCATCCAGAAGTGGAGGCATTATCTGTTGAATATTTACTTTATTATTAGAATAGACCACAGAAGCCTGCAACATATGCTGAGCCAAAGGTTGATTACAGCCTTCCAATAGAAATAGTTGGTGAAATTGATGGAATTTGATTTCACAATTGAATTCAAACAAGGAAGAAAAGATTTAGCAGCAGATGCTTTATCAAGGCAGGAAGTATTAGACTGTCAAGCAATCACAACTCTCATACTTGAAAGCAACATGTTGAATAGAATCATATGCTCTTGGTCGACTGATCCTAACATTCAAAAATTAATCCAAGATTTGCAAATAGATGCTTCTTCACATAAGCATCATACTTGGAATCATAATGAACTCAGAAGGAAGGGGAGATTGGTAGTTGGGAAAGATGTTACTCTAAGGACTAATTTGTTACAATGAATGCATGCTAGTCCTACTAGTGGCCACTTTGGTAGGAAAGCTACATTAAAAAGGTTGAAATTAGTTGTATATTGGAGAGGCATGACCAAGGATGTCTGAATGTTTGTACTAAACTGTGAGGCCTGCCAAAAATGTAA